AGCCACCCATCTCCAATGGACTTTGGCAAAAAGTCAACATTTTAATGTTCACAGCAGAAACAAAAAGATTACAAGTAAAAAAATAATGTAATGCTCTACTTCTATAATTAAATTAATAATATCCCTAAGGGCAATATCCTATAATAATCACCCAGCAGTGTAACCCAGCATGTAATAGCAAAGGTTCAATTGCCAAAGACTCTCTGGAATACTTTTTTTCTTCTAGTTTTTGCTTCTTTCCATAAATATCCAAAGGGACCCTATTCTGTAATGCTGGTGCTGTGATGAAACAATATTTATCTCCTAGTTTCAGCCCTTTAAAAGTCATGGAAGTGTTGGATTATTACGAGTTGTATAATGTCCTGTATAATTCCCCAACCAGGTGTAAGGCAGTGCTAGAAATATCTGTTGAGATTAGAATATACACTGCTCAAAAAAATAAAGGGAACACTTAAACAACACAATGTAACTCCAAGTCAATCACGCTTCTGTGAAATCAAACTGTCCACTTAGGTAGCAACACTGATTGACAATCAATTTTGCATGCTGTTGTGCAAATAGAATAGACAACAGGTGGAAAACATAGGCAGTTAGCAAGACATCCCCAATAAAGGAGTGGTTCTGCAGGTGGTGACCACAGACCACTTCTCAGTTCCTATGCTTTCTGGCTGATGGTTTGGTCACTTTTGAATGCTGGCGGTGCTTTCACTCTAGTGGTAGCATGAGACAGAGTCTACAACCCACACAAGTGGCTCAGGTAGTGCAGCTCATCCAGGATGGAACATCAATGCGAGCTGTGGCAAGAAGGTTTGCTGTGTCAGTGTAGTGTCCAAAGCATGGAGGCGCTACCAGGAGACGTGGAGAAGGCCATAGGAGGGCAACAATCCAGCATCAGGACCGCTACCTCCGCCTTTGTGCAAGGAGAGACAGGAGGAGCACTGCCAGAGCCCTGCAAAATGACCTCCAGTGGACCACAAATGTGCATGTGGCTGCTCAAACGGTCAGAAACAGACTCCATGAGGGTGGTATGAGGGCCCGATGTCCACAGGTGGGGGTTGTGCTTACAGCCCAACACCGTGCAGGATGTTTGGCATTTGCCAGAAAACACCAAGATTGGCACATTCGCCACTGGTGCCCTGTGCTGTTCACAGATGAAAGCAGGTTCACACTGAGCACATGTGACAGACGTGACAGGGTCTGGAGACACCGTGGAGAACGATCTGCTGCCTGCAACATCCTCCAGCATGACCGGTTTGGCAGTGGATCAGTAATGGTGTGGGGTGGCATTTCTTTAGGGGGCCGCACAGCCCTCCATGTGCTCACCAGAGGTAGCCTGACTGCCATTAGGTACCAAGATGAGATGCTCAGACCCCTTGTGAGACCATATGCTGGTGTGGTTGGCCCTGGGTTCCTCCTAATGCAAGACAATGCTAGACCTCATGTGGCTGGAGTATGTCAGCAGTTCCTGCAAGACGAAGGCATTGATGCTGTGGACTGGCCCGCCCGTTCCCCAGACCTGAATCCAATTGAGCACATCTGGGACATCACGTCTCGCTCCATCCACCAACGCCATGTTGCACCACAGACTGTCCAGGAGTCGGGGGATGCTTTAGTCCAGGTGTGGGAGGAGATCCCTCAGGAGACCATCCACCACCTCATCAGGAGCATGCCCAGGCATTGTAGGGAGGTCATACAGGCACGTGGAGGCCACACACACTACTGAGCCTCATTTTGACTTGTTTTAAGGACATTACATCAAAGTTGGATCAGCCTGTAATGTTTTTTTTCCACTTTAATTTTGAGTGTACCTCCAAATCCAGACTTCCATGGGTTGCTAAATTTGATTTCCATTGAAAATTTTTGTGTGATTTTGTTGTCAGCACATTCAGCTATGTAATGAACAAAGTATTTAATAAGAATATTTCATTCATTCAGATCTAGGATGTCTTATTTTTGTGTTCCCTTTATTTTTTTGAGCAGTGTAATTTGGTTCCCCTCCTAATACTATAAATTTACCAATACTTTATATTCACTCACATTCTCTTTCTAGAGAAGCATAGTACAGTACTGGGTTGAGAGTACTGGGTTTTATTTTAGAGGAAAGAGGTACTGATTGTGTTAAGACCCAAAAGGGATTTCTGGAAAAAAATAAAGTGATAATGTGGGATGGGAGTTGCCATTGAAAGCCAGTGTTTCTAATCCCCTGGACCAGTGGTGGATAACCTTTTTGGTTATCCTGTGCCAAAAATTGTGCACGTGTGCACCCAGAAGGCAATACGTGTGATTCTGCCCCCTTACCTGCACTGCGCCTCCCAGCTGATTTTTGGCCCATTTGAGGCCTTTTTCAGCCTCCCAGAGGCTTTAGGAAGCCTCTGCAGCCTTTGCAGGCTGAAAAATGGGTCTGTTTCATCACTTCTGGTATTTCCGGAAATATAGGAAGTGATGAAACAGACCTATTTTTCGGCCTCCAAAGGCTGCAGAGGCTTCCCTCAAGCCTTTGGGAGGCCAAAAAAGGCCCGAAAATCAGCTGAGAGGCGCACGCATGGCAGTGAGTTAAGTTTGCCTGGGGTTCGCGTGCCCGCACAAATGGCTCTGCGTGCCACCTGTGGCACGCGTGCCATAGGTTTTCTATAACAGCCCTGGACTATGCAGGAATCTCAGTTAGAATGTTTGGGGCAGCTTCCTTTATCCTAGATCTTGGATGATGTGGTCAATACTTTGAGAGATTGTTGTTTATGATCATGATGTGAAAGTATTCCTTTGAAACTTGTATTTCAATTACAGGTAGTCCTCGACTTACGACAGTTTGTTTAGTGACTCTTCAAAGTTACAACAGCACTGAAAAAGTGACTTATCACCATTGTTCATACTTACGACTGTGGTCACGTGTTCAAATTTGAGACACTTAGCAACTGACTCATATTTATGACGGTTGCAGTGTCTTGGGGTCCTGTGATCCCCTTTTGTGACATCCCAACAAGTAAAGTCAATGGGAAAGGCAGACTCACTTCACAAGCATGTTACTAACTTGACAATTACAGTGACTCACTGTGGCAAGAAAGGTCATATAAGGGGGAAAAATTACTTCACAAATGTCTCACTTAGCAACAGAAATTTTGGGCTCAGTTGTGGTCATAATTTGGGGACTACCTGTAACAAAAAGGTTTCTTCAACTTATTGAAGAATTCCATCTTGCCTCAGGAATCAGTCTCTTCTTTCTGCTTGTGATCTCATATGTAGTTATATAAGTCTGTGCAGTGTAGAACTAAGAACCTCACACTAGGATTGCAGGAAGCTGGATTCAGTCCTGTAGGGTAGGAAAGAGCGGTCAGGAATATGTATACTGCAGGGAATGTGTTCCACAAATTACTTATTTGTTTTAGCAGAATTTGGAAAGTTTTGCTGCTTTGAATGAAGCTGTTAGGCTAGACTCACATCATATTTGCTAGGTGACCTGCCAGTTTGTTCCTTCTTCTGTTTTTAACAGGCTTCGACACATTACAAGTTTTATTTTTTATTTTTAGCCAGATTTAATTCTATGGGGTGCAAGAAAGTCCTTTTTTTTTGGATATGAGATGTTTATAAGAATGTTACCTGCCCTGCCATCTTCTGCCCCCGCAAATGTTGAATCTCTATGGATTTGTTTTGCTTTCTCCTTAACAGAATTACAGTGCTGGCATGCCATGAGAGACGCATTTATCTTCTGTTCTATTAAAATTCAGACTTATTCAAATAAACATGTAGCCGAGAATCATTAATTAAAAAACAGTTGGAGCAAATTAAATTCATTGCTATATTGTTAAATTATGGATACATTTGTTAAAATTATAGTCCCACCTCCCTTCATTGCATGCTGCTAAGTACGTTGGTACATTTTGAACTACAGGTGTATGGAGATTCTCAGTGATCCAGGTCATAGAGGAGCCTTTTCAAAAAGGAATTGGGCTTTCTTTGTTTTTCCTTGAAAATGTTTTGCTTCTCATCCAGGAAGCTTCTTCAGTTCTGAAGAGAAGTGAAAGGTCTTCAAAGAAAAATAAAGGAAGTCCAGTTGCCTTTTGAAAAAAGCACCTTTGGTACATTTTGAACTTCAACCATGTTTGAAAAACTTCTGCGTGTTCAATGGATTAGGTTTTAGACTCCATTAATTGATTTTTATTTTCAACATCATTGGAGGCACTTTTTATCTTGCTTTGTTGGGGTTTATAAGCAGATGCCATAATGGAGTATTGAGCACCATAGGTTCAATTTGAAAAATAGTGGATATTAGACTCTTATAAAAATTGGACCAATGGTGGAGGTTAGTAAAAATGAAGCCTTCATAGTCAGGATCTGTGTTTGCCAGGTTTTGCTTGGTTTTCTTTGGGGTTCTTGAAAATGGGATTCTAGACAAAATAGACATCTGGATTCTAGGGCAGAAAGTTCAGATTTAATTATGGCCCAATTTTCCTCCTCCAAGTAGGTTTATTGACAGGGAACAGTCCAGTGCAGTTATTGCAGAGGGCATTAGAGATGCAAGTCCAACAAGATTGGGGAGGTGGGGGAGATGATAATAGAAATAGAATTCTTTATTTATGGGCCAAGTGTGATTGGACACACACAATGAATTTGTCTCCGGTGCATAAGCTCTCAGTGTACCTACAAGTAACAAGTGATGATCATAATTAAAATACAATCATCATAGATAGCTAAAGCAGTGGAATAGCTAAACATAGCTAAAGCAATGGTACAACAAAAATGCCAAGATACTTGGACTCTGGAGGTGATGGAAGGCTGAAGCGTGCCTATTTTGTTGCAGATCTTTTTTGGAGCTAGGTTGCTGAATCCTAGAACTTTGTGAACTGGCTACAATGGGTGTTGGTGTTGCTATTCCCTGGACTTGCAATCTGTGAGATTATGTAGTGCATCAAAGAGACAGAAGGAGGGCAAGGATAATAACAGGTACTGTAGAATTTAGGAAGTACTTTTTCCAATGTAACGTATCTGTTGTGCTTCTTTTGCAGTTCGCCTCCATGACAGCATATCCGAGGAAGGTTTCCATTACCTTGTCTTTGATCTGTAAGTAATACTTGGTTCTGAAGAAACTCTGTACCAGCCTAGGTCTTTCTGGAATTTGCTCCTCTTTACAAGTCTTCCCCTCTGTGCTTTTCCTTGTGGCCTTGTGGCTGCCACAGTTGAGCATCCTCTTTGTGGGTTGCTTTGGATAGCCTTATGGCCTGCCTTACGGCGCCTTCTGAGCAAATGTTTGTATGCTGCCTCAGGAGCTAGGCAGGCGTTGCCATCTTAATGGATGTAGGTGGGCGAAGACTGCAGCTGCAGGGCTGCCATTAGCATAAAAGGGTGGGCAGGGAAGAGGGAAAGGAGGCTATTGGGATGATAACTGTGACTCAGGGACCCTGGCAGGCTGGGGAGACCCGTCCTTGCTGTACCCTGTTTGAAGAACCAGATTAGGCCATCTAGGAACCACACAGAAGGCTGGCTCCAGGGCTTCGTTGCCTTGATTCCTCGCCCCCTTTCATTTGGTAGGCCATGTCCTGGGCAAAGGGGTGGGGTGCTTTGCTTGGCTGCCTCTCACTTGATTTCCAGATATAGAAACTAGTGATCTCATCTCCTCCTCCTCTCTGACAGCTCCAGTTAAGCAGCAAACTATATTTAGCTGCCCTCTGAATCAGTGCAGCTCCTGCTTCTCTCTCTCTCTCCCTCCCTTCCCTCTTCCCCTTCCTTCCTTCCTTCCTTCCTTCCTCCCTCTCTCCCTCCCTCCCTCCCTCCCCCCCTCTTTCTCCCTCCCTCTCCCCCCTCTGCTTGGAGTCACACAGGCCTTGACATGACCATGGCTGCAACAGGAATAATTGAAAGCTACTGATAGATTCCCCCCCCCTTTCATGTACATTCTGCACTGTGGCCACAGCTGGCTGTGTGCCCAACTCTGGAGCCCATCTGGTGCAACACTCTTTCAATTACTTTGTGTGCCATTACTTTCTGTGCCAAATCTGGGTTCCTTGAATACCTGGCAGATTCAGGAGCATCTGTGTGAAATGAGGGGATGGAAGAGGAACAGATTATGGTCATCCAATGGAGGTGTTTGAGGAGCTCTAGTGCCTCTAATGCCCAAGACTTGATCTACAGTAATCAGTTGCGGTAATGATGTGGGAGCTAACTCATCCATTTGGGTCTCTGCTGTAACCTTTATATCCACTCTACTCTGTTTCCTAATCTCTGCATTTCTGTATCAAAGAGGAATCATTCTTGTGCATTTCTGGCATCCTGCTATTTAACACATCAGCTTCTCTCCCTTCTAGACTCTCTCTAAGTTTTTAATTGATCAATTAACATTTAGTGGCTTAAAGGGAAAAGTACAGAGTCACATCCCTGCAGAATGGTCAAAATGAATTATTTTTATTCGTAATGGAATGTAAGAATAAATCTAAACTAAGGTAGCCAAATTTTAGTCCAAAGACCAACTTTTTGGCTTGGATATAGGTGTGCATCTGTACAGGAACATGTTTCCTGGGCTTGCATTCCATTGAATTCAATGGGCCTTCCATTGGGATGAAAGTATTTAGCATTCATACCAGCCAGTATTTTGACCAGGTTGAATCAAACAATAATCTTGAGGCAAGGATAGTGATTTAGGTGTCTATTCTTTATTCTTGGTGATGAACTTAATTTCCTCCATCTGACCACATTCCTTGTGTTTTTGGTTAATGGGCAAGAATTCCAAATCAAGAAAAACAATAAAATAGTCATTCTGGACCATCCATTCATTCATGCCACCCATCTTGTTGAGCAAATATGGATTTTTTTTTAAGTACAACTGAACTCTGAGTGCTTATTTGCCGTTCTTCATACCTGGCACCTGAACAAGGCCTTGGATAATCTGTCTTCTACCTATCCTACATTGCCTTTAAAGATATTGTATGTTATCAAGTCAGTATCAACCCTGGGTGAATTTGTGTGATCATTTTTGCTCTAGTTAGTGTATGGATGGCAATTTCTTAGTGCCTTAGTGAGGGAGGCTGCCTGCTTTCATCCTGGTTGAGATACAATATGCTGATGATAATGTCTCTGCCGTTGTCTATTTTGGCATCAAAATGAGTGGGCTAATAACAGAATAGACAGCAGAGCTAGACTTGAAAAATTTAAGTAACCACAACAGTGAAACAATCAAAATAAAATAAAACCAGCCCTCAACAAAGATTCTCCAAAAGTAAAATTGTTTTTAAAAACCCATAGGGGATTTAACTTGTTGGGAAGATAATTCTGATGGAAAATTTGAGAGGTAAATAGCAGTTCTGATAGCATTTCAAAACTGCTGTGTGTCTTAATGCTGGGAAGACAAAATGTTTGTTCTTCAACAGGTTAAGACAAATAGGAAAACAGAGAGAGAGAAGGAGGGAGGTTATTGCACATTGGTTGATTTAGATGGGGAGCAGCATGGTGGCCTAGTGGTGAAGACATTTACCTCCCACTCGGAAGGCTGAGAATTCAATCTTAGGTAGCATTTCTCTCCTAGGGTGCAAAGAAAAAAATATCTGCTGCGAACTCTGCATGGGCGTCAGGAAGGGCATGTGTTTGTTGGGAATATCGATGCACATGTAGTTTTGTAAGTCTCACAACCCTGTGAGAACCCAAAGGATCTGCATGTCCCAAATATGCTTTTTCAAGAGGCAACTGGTTTTTCTTTGACAACGTTTCACTTTTCATCCAAGAAGCTTCTTCAGCTCAGAGCTGAAGAAGCTTCTTGAATGAGAAGTGAAATGTCTCCAAAGATAAACCAGACAGTCCACTTGCCTCTTGAAAAAGCACCTGTGGGATAACCATGACCTGGGTGACTGAGAACCTTCATAGACAAAAGTTCTGTAGTGTAAACTCTGCAATAAAGAGTATGGATCTGAACATTAATATATCAAAATCAATAGTTGTGTTATCCAGAAAGATAGCATGGGCAGTTGCAAGTTATACATAAATGCCACATAACTAGAGCAAGCAGATGGGTTTGTTCAATTCCTTTGTGGAATATTTGCTAAAAATGGGAAAATGTTTTGAGAAATTTAAGATGGTAGAAAAGTAGTGGTATGGGTCAAGAGTAAAATGGGAGATTGAGAAAATTGTAATTGGATGGAGTTGATCAGATCCTCAGAAAGAATGAACATGTTCAAGAGGCAACAAAAGGCAATGTATGAATCAGTTTATGAACAAGAATATCTAGTAAGGGGAAAAAAAGAAATATAGAAGCCTAGTGAACTAAATTTAGCTGTGTTTCTTCCCTTTTTTAATTCATGCCTTAAATAGCTTTGGTATATTATTTCTTACTTGTTTCTGTATTTGTTGTAAGATTGCTTACCCTGAAATAATTAGTCTTCTATCTGGATGAGAGATAAAATATAAGAACTTCTCCCAAAGAGGAGAAGAGAGGAAGAAGAAAAAGAAAGTGGACAAATGACCTCAACATAAATATACCATTTTGGGATAGCTGCAGTGAGATTTTAAACTACATATATTTAAAGTTAGAATAATTTTTCAAAATAAAGTTAGAAAAATTAGGCCTTTTCGGACATTAGCAAGCCTAGACAGATGCTCAACAAGCTAGATTTACATTGATTCTGGTGAGATTCCCTGATGGAACAGAAATTGGATCCATGACAGTTTATTTGGGTCGTGGGCCAGGCAATTATGTAAGAGGCTGAAAGAAGAATAGAGTTCGCAGCAAATGATCCAAGCCTTTCAGGAATAGTTGTGGTTCAGTGGTTGTAAGGGCAAGAAGTAATAACCTTGAGGAACAGGAGGAAAACCTCAAAGAAGACAAAAGTCTGATTTAAAAAAATCTGAGTCCTGGCCAGAATTATAACATGAGGAAGTTTCTCAGACAAGACCCCCCTTGTCTATGGAGATTCTCAGTCATCCAGGTCATGGTTATTCCACAGGTGCTTTTTCAAAAGACAACTGGACTTCCTTTGTTTTTGCTTGAAGATGTTTTCACTTCTCATCCAAGAAGCTTCTTCGGTTCTGAAGAAGCTTCTTGGAATCTTCAATATGCAGTAACCTTCAGTTCTGAAGAGGTTTCTTGGATGAGAAACAAAATGTCTTCAAGCAAAAACAAAGAAATCCAGTTGAAAAAAGCACTTTTGGGAAGACCCTTCCTTGTTCTCATGAAGGTAAAGGGATAGGGTGGGGAACATTACATTCAGTATTGCATATTTTGTCCCATAACTTTATGTTTAAAGTAGTACTGACATGTATACCTTGACCTTCCTAGTCTGGTCTGCTGTGAAGGGCTGACAGTGTTATACTCTCCAAACCTCCTGTTGACAAATGTCAAACTTTGGTTGAAATCTTGTTTGTATCACTTTGTAGGGTCACGGGCGGTGAGCTCTTTGAAGACATTGTTGCCAGAGAATACTACAGTGAAGCTGATGCAAGGTGAGTGGTAACTTCACATCCACTTGTCCCCACTCCATCCTTCTCCCTCCCCCAGCCCCACCCCCTCTCTCTGTCCCCAGATCCCATTCCAGCTTGAACCTGTGAAATATGAACCCATCTGTAATCAGGGAGGTTGGGGTGGGGTTGGAACCACATGGTTGTATTCAAAAGATTTTACATGGTTGAAGTGATGTTCTCATGTCCTTTGGCACCAGTGGTTGCCATAAAGTGTCCCACTGCTTCATACAGTGCCAGCCAACCCTCCCATACACCCTTGGACTGCTGCACCTGATTATATAGCAGACAGCAGAGGTCCCATTCACCTCACAGTTGTGAAGAAGATAGAATTTATGTGAGGCATTGCAGGGTGAGAAGAGATATACCTAGTGCCTCCCCCAGCATCCCATTTATATAGGATGCAAGCGCTCTCAGTACATCTGATCATTTAAGGATACTCTCTTTCCCAAACGGACTTTCGTCAGAGCAGGTCAGCTACTAGCTCCGTTCTTTGCTAAAGAAAGATGAGAGAGGTTTGATTGGGGGGATGGGAATGTGCTCCCACTACTACAAACAAGCCTTAATCTGTGGTTGAATATCCCATGTTCAAATGGGATCTTAGCCTTCATATAAAGGAAGTTGTTGTTAGTGCTTTCACTCTTGAACTCCTCCTTCAACTGTAGAAATATTTGTATTGCACTAGGCTAGTTTGGAGATTGTATGGTCTCTTTTGCAGATGCAGTCTAACCAAGATAATTGGGGATAAGAACTGGAGGTGTGCAAGGATGTAGGAATATTGGCAGTAAGAAATAAAAAATTGGATGGGACAGAACCGAAATTAGTGTTTGCTGGGCAAACTGTCATTAGTAAAGAGCTTCAGGAGTTGACGCATCAGGGCCACCAAATTACAAAACATGGTTGCATTTGAGAAGTGTTCATACAACACAAAGACAGCTGGGTGTCCGAAGTTTGTCAACCTAGATTGCAAGGAGTTCTAGCCTTTGGAGTGGTGTAGAGGAGCAAAGGCTGAGAAGAAACCAGGAGGTACCAAAAGACATCAAGAAATTCAGATTCAATTTAAAGCTTTCATTAGAAGAGATTGTTGACCAAGGCATGAAATACATTGTGAAGTTATGTCTGTTTGAATTAAGAAACCTGGTTGCCCAAAGCCAAGTGTTCCAGAGATTTAGCAATGAAGATATTCTAAGAGAGGGAAGCCATAGCAATCCCAAAGTTTAGAATCTGGTATAATTCTGCCCACACAATTCAGTTTTTCTACATTGTTCCTTTCCTATCTTGTTCCTCCAGTGCTTCAGTGGTGAGGGTGGGAGAAATAACCACAGGAGTGCAGAATAATTCTACCAAAATTCCAGCCCGGTGTTTTTGATATTGTATGTACCTTAGGACAGCAATCCTTGGTTTTTTGTATTATGTAAAAGATCTAGGACAATGATAGTCTGGTATAGATAATGAAAATAACATGTTTTATTTAAGCACCTCTGATTTGATGGTAATCCTGCATGAAAAACCTTAGATTATTTCTCCTGGTGGCTTCCTGCCCATAAAGAGGGGCCTAGTGATAGAAAAGCATCCTCTGTTAATCCTAAATACAGGTAGTCTTTGACTACCTGTATTTGCCTTCAGAACAGCCCTGCTAAGTACATTGGAACTGTAAGTAGGAAGGCAGAAACTGGTGTGCATGCACAATGATTGCCAAGCCCAGCATTGTTCCAAATCCAAATTGTGAAATTGACCCACCGTCAGCTTGCAAAGCCAAATGATGCCTTAAAACAATGTTTTTCAACCTTGTCAACTTTGAGATGTATGGATTTCTTCCTCAGATGTCTGGGGAATTCTGGGAGTTGAAGTCCATACATCTTAAAGTTGCCAAGGTTGAGAAATACTGCCTTGGAAACCTCCTCTTCTTTAGTCTGCTATTTCTTGCCCAAATTAAGCAATGTTCTCTTTAGTAAAAAAAAAAAAAAAAAGGCCAACTCTGTTCTAGGCTGCGTTAACAGAGGAATAGAATCAAAATCACATGAAGGGTTAATACTACTTTAGAATACTAGATACGTCCACACTTGGAATACTGCATCCAGGTTTGGTCGCCGTGATGTAAAAAAAGATGTTGAGATGCTACAAAGAGTGCAGAGAAGAGCAACAGACATGATTAGGGGACTGGAGACTAAAACATACAAAGAATGGTTGTTGGAATTGGGTATGTCTAGTTTAATGAAAAGAAGGATTGGGGTGACATGATGGCAATGCTCCAATATCTCAGGGGTTGCCACAAAGAAGAGGAAGGCAAGTTATTTTCCAAAGCACCTGAAGACGGGATAAAAAGCAACAGATGGAAGCTAATCAAGGAGAGAAGCAACCTAGAACTAAGGAGAAATTTCCTGACAATTAGAACAATTAATCAGTGGAACAAATTGCCCCCAGAAGTTGTGAATGCTCCAACACTGGAAATTTTGTGGAAGAGATTGGACAACCATTTGTCTGAAATAGTATAGGGATTCCTGCCTGAGCAGAGGGTTGGACTAGAAGAGGTCCTAAGTCCCTTCCAATTTTGTTATTCTGTTCTGTTCTCTTGAAAAAAAGAGCTGGTCATTGACAGATTAGTATGTGTTCACAGTTCCAGCAGTCATGCTTAGTTAGCCTCAGAGAGAGGTGAGATACAGCTAGTAGCATAATACCCCAAATAACTGAATTAAGAACAGGAGGGATAAAACCTATGCAGGGAGTTCAGGAAATTACCCAAACAAGCCACACATGTGCATCAAGGTGTGGTGGGTTGGGCAGACTTACAGGAATGAGAGACTTTGTCTAAGAGGTCAGGACCAAAGAGGTTCAATGGAATAGGATATAATTCAAGCACATGAGAATGATTAAAACATACATTTTATGAACAAGTTGTCCTCTCCCTTGTAGTTTCACAAAAACGGGAGATATCACTTTTGTATGAAGTGGTACCCTAAGTGGCTTGGTTGAACCACTGTATTGCTGAGTTTTGACATAGCTTGCCAGGGGGTCCAGACCTTGGGTGATTCACAGTATGTATGAACCGAGCCATTTTATCTTGTTCAACAAACCACAGCAAGAGAAAACAGTGCAGTAGGTGTTCCCTGCATATAGCTTCAGTTTCGTAACAGTATATTTATTTATTTATCTACCTATTTATTTATTTATTTATCTATCTATCATTTATTTAGTTATTTGGTTTATATTGCCGCCTATTCGCCCATGGCTTTGTTTTTCTTAATAACTCCACTTACTAACGTAATTACTCCACTCAGTTGTCACGTAGATGTGAACTGAAGGAGTCCCCAACTGGATTCCTCAGTTTGTAATTGTGTCCAGTATCTTATGTGCTGCTTTTATTTATATATAAATTGTAAAGAGAAAATAAAAAGTAATGCCAACTAATACAGGCTAAAAAAAAAACAGAGAAAGAAAAAGACAAAAGCGCAGCAAGAAAAGATAAAAAGAAATAAAAAGAAAAAGTTTCCATTTTCTTCTGCAGCTAATATAAATATAATTACAAAGTTTTCTCTTACTATGATTACAAAAAAAAAAAAACCCTCACTTTTTTCTGTTATTTAATTTTATTTGCTAGTCTTCAAAACTAAAGCTTACTGTGCCTTTTTTTTCTGCTTCATGTGAAAATCAAAAAAAATCTGTAAGGAGTTTCCAGTCAGCCATAAATGTAGATATTGTGTTTTTCTCTAACCAAGAAAATAATTTTAGTCATCTTTGAAAATTCCATCACCTTCACCAACCATTCCTCCACTTTGAGTGATGCAGAATCCTTCCAATTTTGGGATTATAATAATATCGCTGCAGTTGTCATGTATAAAAACAACATTCCATGGCTTTTTTCTAGATGTCTGTCCATTAATCCCAGAAGAAGAGCTTCTGATTTAATTCATCATTGGTCCTTAAAATCTTCTGAATTAGTGTATATACTAATTCAGAAGTATCTTTTTTAAAGCTTTTTTTAAACATCCTCCACACATAATAAAATGTGTCTTCATGTTATTCACATTTCCAACATAAATTTGAAATACCCTTTATACATTCTAGATGATTTCTCTGGTGAGCAATATCAATGGTACATTGTTTATAAAAAATTCCTTTAAGACTAGAATTAAATTTCAATTCTTTCAACCACACATTTTCCTGTTGATCCATTTGTTTATTGTAACCAAAATATTTAGCCCATTTTAGTATACATTATTTCGCTTGCTATTCTGTCTCATATTTCAGCAAAAGTTTATACCTTTTAGCAATAAAAGGGTCACCTCGTTGGCACATAGTTCCATTTCAAAGTCATTCATGCTTGTTCAAACCCGTAAAATCTTTTATCCATTTTAAATCTTTCTAATAATTATACAAATGGAAAACCATTGACAAATATATCCTTGTATTGTCAAATCTTCTCTTAATTTTATTTTACAATTTCCTTGAGAAAATCCTAGTATATAACAATAAGTTAAACATTTATCACTTCTCATCTACAAAATGCTTCTTAGCTGACAGCCATAAAAGTATTTTTGGGCACAACCTAGATTTATTTATTTCATACTCTAAAAATAGCCCACCTGACATAATGATTTATGAAATCTACGTTAAACTTAGTTTTATTATATCATAGATATATTTGTGCCACCCAAATCTCAGATAGTGTCCTTCTGACTTCGACAGCCTGCTGTTTCTTAACAACATCCATTTTCATCTAAGTTAACAGCAACGAAGTATAATTTGAAATCTGGTAAACTTAATCCCCCTCTTCCTTTGCATCTTATAATACCATATATAATACTCAGGATTTCCCCCCTACCAAACAAATTTAGATATATCCTTTTGTTGCTGTTTAAATAGTACATCAATTGTCAAGACAATTATTATTGAAACAAAAATAACATTCTTGGCATCTAGGCAAAATAACATTCTAGAAAATTTTCTCCAGTAGTGACAATTGTACTTTATCCCATCTTAACATG